CAAAACACTGCAACACTACCTTAGCACTGACCCCAAAACACTGCAGCGCTCCATCAGCTCTGACCCTACAACACTGCAGCACTGCCTCAGCACTGACCCTACAACACTGCAGCACTTTGTGCACTGACCCTACAACACCGCAGTACTCCATCAGCACTGACCCTATAACACTGCAGCACTGTCGCAGCACTGACCCTACAACAATGCAGCACTCCATGAGAGCATAAGAGAAATGGAAGTAAAAGAAAGATAAATAACCTGTTGAAACTTCTCTGCCTTCAAAAAGATCATCATTCAATTTTGTTTTTATCCATTCTTGACACCTGAGTTTTGCAGGGTGGGCAGCATTTATTGCCTGCCCCTATTACCCTTGAGAAGGATATCATGTTGACTCTGCTTGATTCTATATTTTCTAACTGTCCTGCTACTGAAATAACTCCAAAGAGGCTTGTATCCCGTTGCCAAGACACCCTTTATTTACACATGGAGAGCCCTTGACTCTGGCACTGCCTCTTCAGAATCAGCTCTCAAAGCACCAGAATCTCTGACACTCTCTTTTTATCTGTGAGCCAGAACTGTCTGGTTGGAACAGGCTAACAGCCCCAACCAGGGAATTCATGTTGTATGAGGCTGACCTTGTTACAATTGCTACAGCAACCACTTCTTTAACAATAGATTCCACCATTATCCCAAGGACAGATGTCAGGCGAACTGGTCTATAGCTTATTGGTTTCTGTCTCCTTTTTGCCTTGAACCGAGGTATGGGTACTTTGAAAAATTATAACCAATGCGTTCATTCTCTCTTAGCTACTTCCTTTCAGACCCTGGATTCAGGCCATCTTGCTCTAGGAACTTTTTCTTATTCATTTGTGGAACTTGACATCACTGGCTGGGTCAGCATTTATCGCCCATCCCCAGTTTCCCTTGAGAAGGTGATAGAGAGCTGCCTTTTGAACCGCTGCAGTCCAAGTGTCATAAGTAGACCCTCAATGCTGTTAAGGAGGGGGTTCCAGGGCTTTGACCCAGCAACACTGAAGGAATGGTGACATATTTCCAAGTCAGGATGGTGAGTAAGTTGGATGGAAATTTGCAGGGGGTGGTGTTCCCATATCTCTACTGCCCTTGTCC